ACTGCGGAGGCAATGTTGGACCAATTCCTGTGCATTCAGCAGTCCTGTTAGAGGCACTGAGGGATTTCCTGTTCTTTCTGAGGACGCCAAAGCACGCTGGCAGTCACTGCTCAAGGGCTGAGGAGGATATATGAGGGGGGGAAGAACTTTGGCAAGGTGAACGCATCCAAGCTGAGGCCAAATACCCAGAACCTTTTGATGAGGGAGGAAGATGGCCACTGTGTGCACTACTTACAAGAGGACAGCGTGGGACACTTTGCAGGGAATTGGACACGCTAGAACGATCTGTGGGTCCATATCAAGACGTATTCAATACATGCAAAACGCATTGTAATGCATAACGTAGTGTGCTTTCAGACTAGTGGAAAGAAAACTATGTTTGTCTGTTGGTTTTTATTGAATAAACTATAGAGTTGGGGTCCATATTAAGACATATTCAATACAGATGATAATCACTATATGCAACAACTTACAAGGGCACAATATGGGAAGTATTCACAGAATTAAAGAAGCTGAGTTTTGGGTCCATATTGAGACATATATAATGCACGGGTTAGCATAAGATGAGGAAGAAGTCTACTTTCAGACTTGTGGAAAGAGAACATCCGAAATCCACATTTAGGAGCTGAATTTAATATCTTTAGTTTGTTTATTCTGCAGATTTCTACTAACTTCACCAATAGTTAGCATAATGCATATTTACACGTAGCATTTGAGATCACTTGTCATACAAACACATTGCAATGCACTGCTAGCCTCCACCACAGTCTTCTCTTTGATTATTGGGGAGAAAACATCCACAATCCACATTGAGGAGTTTCTTTTAGTAACGTTGCCGGCTGTGTGCGTAGATTTCGTTGGCCTCAAAGTTAGCATGACATCATGCCTCATTTGGAAATTAAAACATGACATTAACACTTTTTCACAGCTTTTCCAAAAGGTGCTTCAAGATAATGGACTTTCCCTGAGGCTGTGATCCCTCTCTTCTGAAGCTCACAGAGGACACAGCAGCTCCTTCATTACGAAACACATGCAGAAAATGCAGTTTTTAAGGAAGTATTTTCTCCTTTAAAGAGTAAACAAAGAGATCCCCTTTCTAAAAAACAAGTGTCAACACAATAACACAATCATTTTGCACCTGGCTGTATCCAACGCTCACATTTCTGTTCTGAATGCATGCAAATTAGCCCCTTTGTAATTAGATGAAGCCTCATTAGCATATAGCATTTGAGAGAAGTTGTACTAATGACTGTAACGACATCGTCCCCCCTCTTCAGGCAGAGGAAGGGGTTTGCGTTTGGCAGAGAAAGCAGCGAGGAGGTGGCATTAGACCCGATTAGAGAAAAGCCAGGATTACCTCCCCTCTCAGAACACCGAGAGTGACTTCTATTTCAGGAGCAACCTCTGCCGGGAAACACGCACACGATGCACAGCAAACATGCATAAAGGGCTCATACTCATTCATACCTCCATGCATTCATGTGAGACACACAGCTGCATGATTTTAAATGACATCAGGATTAGAAATGTGTTTTGATCCATGGGAGTTCCTCCGTTTTAGAATGAAATAGATACAAATAAAAGGGTAACTTTTTATATAAACACAGCGATTTTACTTGAATATATAACAACAATAAATATATCAGTAATATACATTAATTTTAAGGCACATTCTGGACAATTTAAAGTTCTTTACATAAGCATAACAAATACAAAATATAAAAAGAAAGAGAAAATAATTTAAAAAATCGATGGGAAACAGTTGATTTATTATAATAAAATATATGAAATTATTATTTGATACGTATGTTAGGCTACCTAGTAATTCGTGCACATGAACTTGTTTGCAGACACATTTTATTGTATTTAATTAGTAATTTTAAAGACATTTAAAGCGATTTCTTTCCGCCAAAATGGACGTTTCTTTAATGTAACACAAAGTCGAATCTCTTACCTTGCTATGAATGTCCCTGGTGTCTTTGCAGCAGCTGCTCGGAGATGTACTTTCTGGATTTGGTCTCATTTAGTGTTTCAGCTTCCCGGAGCTTGTGCAGCAGACAGGCACGCGCAGCTTCATACACACCAACTGCCGCACGAGAGGCACAGCTCGCGCTCTTATCCACTGAAGCTGCAGTTTCGCGGATCTATCGCGAGAGGTCGTTGTAGCTTCAACGAGACTGCCAACAGGTAGAAGGCTTGTTTGAGATGAGCTGCGTCTCGCCTCGAAAGTAGACGAGAATAGCCGATTGCAGCCGGAGGGGGGGGGGGGGGGGGGTTTGGGGGGGGTTACAGCTTGGAGTCGGCTTGCAATGGAGGAAATTGCGTTGGCTTTCGTCGTTGCAAATGAAGTGGATGCAATACAAATCCCACAATTATTATATCACTACAAATGAATGACGCAAGTGTCTGTTCCTTTTAAAACAAATCAATACAAGGGGGGTTGAATCCTGTAAAAGACAGAACCACTTATTACTTTTCAAAACGTCTTCGCTTTAGAAAAAGCCAAAGCAAAAGCAATTGGCTCTTGAAGAACCTTATGTCCTAAAATAATGAGCATAAATTCAACAGAATAAGCAACTATTATTATCCCCCATTATGTTTATATGTGCTGTATTTCAACATCAGTTTTGACAGAGCGATTGCCGGATATATAATGCTTGAGTATATGTTACTACATAGAAAGTTCCTATGAAGAAATATTGTTCAACTGTTCGTAAAGCATCGGCTTTAAACAGTTTGAGAAGATGATGAAATCAACATTTACTGAAAACAAAGCCATCCGCCATCATGGACTCAACTTCCACTGCTATTCTGATGATACCCAAAATCTGTGAGCACTCTATTGGACAACTCCGGACGGCAACCCAAGTAGGACACTTGAGTCTTGACACAGTGGCTTTTGGCAAAGCACAAAAAGAAAACTCGAGAGAGATGAGTTATTGTTATTACAACGTGACTTCACTATTATTTAACAGCTGCTTTTTGGATTATCCGACCGCAACCCGGGGGTAACGCTGCCTTTCCTCTGCCCCGCGGGCTGATGGGTAATCACTCCCACACAGAGACGAGGCATTTGGGTCCTGCAGGGTTTCCCCGTTAATATCAGTGTCTCGAAAACACATGTTGGCGACTGAAAGACATCCAGTGTTTGGTCTTTTCCTGAAGCATCCTACAGTGCCTCAACTGAAAGAGGACCACAAACACACAACACATATAATACCATTTTGAGATTTGGGGATATTTATCTCCCATTCTTTCCCTTTTTCTGACATTTTCAAGTGAGCGTAAGTATTCAAATGCATCGTTCATTGCATCAAAACAAAAGGTGTTCATTTGTGGAATAACTGTAATGATGAGCTGGAATACTGTGCAACTTTATCTAACTATTATTTAGAAACCAAATCCTAAATGGTTCTGAGCAGGACCGGTGAAGTGATGCTGCTTTGTTCAGCTTTGTATTAAAGAACCAGAACCTCAAGAGTCCAGAAGCTCTTTATAAACCAGACTGAGGAACCAGAACCTCAAGAGTCCAGAAGCTCTTTATAAACCAGACTGAGGAACCAGAACCTCAAGAGTCCAGAAGCTCTTTATAAACCAGACTGAGGAACCAGAACCTCAAGAGTCCAGAAGCTCTTTATATGAATGTTCTCCGGTCTCAGAGGACCGGGTCTCTTCAGGTCCAGTTTCAGTTCTACATGCAGGTGTGAGGGACAGTTTTAATGAAAGACACGTGGACTCGTTTTACAGAACCAGGATTTATAGAAGCTCCGAGGCTGAAACAAAGAGACAGAACCAGCCTGGAACCGGTTCTTTAAGGTAAACAAAAATACATCAGGGTCAGGATCTTAACAAATTAAACCTCAGGGAGTCTCCTGATTGGACGAGCTCTCCTCCTCCCTTGTTGGATGGATGGATGCCCCGCCCCCGACTCACCCCCACCCAATGACCTTAATCTGAGGAAACAAAACAGAAACAGATCCAGGATCAGAAACAGACTCAGATCCAGGATCAGAATCATACTCAGATCCAGAGTCAGATCCAGACTCACATGGTCAGGGTCTCCTCACAGAACGAGCCCAGCTGCTGCATCTCAGTCTGGAAGAAGTTCTGAAGAGAGACAGAAGAACTGGATCAGGTCTGACTACTAATGTGTTTTATTCTTAAATATATTCTCTGTACCCGGATCAGTACTGCAGTATTAGTGAGTACAGTAGCAGTATTAATACAGTAGTAGTATTAGTACAGTAGCAGTATTAGTAAAGTAGCAGTATTAGTATTAGTACAGTAGCAGTATTAGTACAGAAGCAGTATTAGTACAGAAGCAGTATTAGTATTAGTACAGTAGCAGTATTAGTACAGTAGCAGTATTAGTACAGTAGCAGTATTAGTACGCTAGTAGTATTAGTAAGGTAGCAGTATTAGTATTAGTACAGTAGCAGTATTAGTACAGAAGCAGTATTAGTATCAGTACAGTAGCAGTATTAGTACAGTAGCAGTATTAGTACAGTAGCAGTATTAGTACGCTAGTAGTATTAGTAAGGTAGCAGTATTAGTATTAGTACAGTAGCAGTATTAGTACAGTAGCAGTATTAGCATTAGTAAAGTAGTAGTATTAGTACAGTAGCAGTATTAGTACGGTAGCAGTATTAGTATTAGTACAGTAGCAGTATTAGTACGGTAGTAGTATTAGTAAAGTAGCAGTATTAGTACAGTAGCAGTATTAGTATTAGTACAGTAGCAGTATTAGTACAGTAGTAGTATTAGTAAAGTAGCAGTATTAGTACAGTAGCAGTATTAGTACAGTAGCAGTATTAGTACAGTAGTAGTATTAGTAAAGTAGCAGTATTAGTACAGTAGCAGTATTAGTACAGTAGTAGTATTAGTAAAGTAGCAGTATTAGTAAAGTAGCAGTATTAGTACAGTAGCAGTATTAGCATTAGTACAGTATTAATATTAGTACAGTAGTAGTATTAGTACAGTAGTAGTATTAGTAAAGTAGCAGTATTAGTACAGTAGTAGTATATTAGTACAGTAGCAGCAGTATTACTGCAGTATTCTGTGTACCAGGGTTTGTGTGTTGATGGAAGTCAGACGGTTTGAATCATCATGGATACTCTTCAGCTGATCAGTGACACTGCTCTGAAACCTGTGGAGCAACACCAACCTACACACACACACACACACACACACACACACACACACACCACACCACACACACACACACACACACACACACACACACAGCACACACACACACACACACACACCACACACACATACACACACACACACACACACACACATGCACACACATACACACACACACACACACACACACACACATACATACACATTCACACACACACACACACACACACACACACACACACACACACACACACACACACATTCACACACACACATATATTCACACACACACATTCACACACACACATTCACACACACACACACACACCACCACACACACCACATACACACACATTCACACACCACCACACACACACACCCACACACATAAACACACCTCACACACACTCACTCCATACACCCACCACACACCCCACCGTTCCCACCACCTTCACACACACCGCACCACACACACCCATCCCACCATACACACACTCCCCCCCCCACTCACATACACCCACACACACACACACACACACACAAACACACGATAAAGTGGCCGGTACTTGTGCTGATGGACAGGTGTGATAAAGTGGGCGGGACTTGTGTTGACAGACAGGTGTGATAAGGTGGGCGGTACTTGTGTTGACGGACAGGTGTGATAAAGTGGGCGGTACTTGTGCTGACGGACAGGTGTGATAAAGTGGGCGGTACTTGTGCTGACGGACAGGTGTGATAAAGTGGGCGGTACTTGTGCTGACGGACAGGTGGGATAAAGTGGCTGGTACTTGTACAGATGTGTTACCTGTGTTGATGGACAGCGGTCAGCAGGGAGGAGACGTGTTGTTGACATTTTGTTAACGACTGGAGTATTTCTGTCTCCACGTTCTTCCAACAGCCACGTATCGTTATTTCATATTTTAAAGTACTTTATTTGTTTGTTGATAATAAAATCCTTTAGGGTGTGCACTGACGGTGAAGTGGTGATCCAGCTGAGAATTAAAGGTGTTGAAGGCAGCGGTGATATCGGACGTCAGGTGAGACCCTGGCTCCACCCCCCCCACAGGCCCCGCCCCCTCAGGTGAGGACTCTGGGAGCAGGTGAGCAGCAGATTTAAGAATCATTCAAACATCATCATGTTAATAAATGATAACATATCTACCTGTCTGCAGGCGGTTAGGCTCCTCCCCCTCTGACTATGGCTCCTCCCACAGCTCTTCCCCCTCCTCCCCGCTTAGGCTCTGGCTCCTCCCACTCAGGTGCTTCCCCCTCTGACACAGGCTCTTCCCCCTCCACCCCCTCTCCCTCTGACACAGGTTCCCCCCCCTTGGCCTCAGGCTCCTCCCTCCTGGTTTTGCCCAGCGGGCCCTCAGTTTGGTCTAACAGGTAACCTTCAGACAGAAACAGAAATATAATCTTAAATGTTAAAGAGTGAGCAATAACCCATCAGCAGAGTGAGATAATAAATAATACCTGAGTCGAGAGCGGACCTCTTCCTGACAGAACCGAACCCTTCCTGAAACACAGGTAGACCACCAGTAAAAACTGTACCTTTAATATAATAATTATATAAATATAACCTACCTTTGGAATGAAAGAGAGGTCTCCAAACATGTCTTTCTGCACCTGAGACGTTTGTAGCTCCGCCCCCTCATGTAACCCTGAGAGACAGCCAGGTTCCTCTGAGGTGGTTTTAATTGGGGGGGGGGGTTATTGATGAGTCAACAGACAGGTATATAATGTACTTACCTGAGGAGTGTGTGGGGGAGGAGTGAAAGATCTGATCGAACAGAAGCTCTGCCTGATTCACCTGAAACAGAGAGGAGGAGTTACACACACACACACACACACACACACACACACACACACACACACCACACACACACACACACACACACACACACACACACACACACACACACACACACACCACACACACACACACACACACACACACACACACACCACACACACACACACACACACATTACCTTCGGAACAGGTGAGTCCAGACTACTTGGGGAGGACATGGGGAGGACTGTGGGAGAGACAGGCAGACAGACAGTATTAGACAGACAAGTGAGTCAGACAAACAGGTGAGTCCGACAGACAGGTGAGTCAGACAGTCAGACAGACAGACAGTATTATATTATATACCTTTCAGCTTGTTCTTGCTCTTTGCTTTCTTCCTGTGGTAGGTCTTTCCATGGTGCTTGTTAGCGGGGTGGAAGACCTGGACCGTAGAGAGAGAGACAGACAGGTTCCTCTGAGGTTACCTTCGGAACAGGTGAGTCCTGCTCACTACTTGGGGAGGACATGGGGAGGACTGTGGGAGAGACAGACAGGTGAGTCAGACAGACAGGTGAGTCAGACAGACAGGTGAGTCAGACAGACAGGTGAGTCAGACAGACAGGTGAGTCAGACAGACAGGAGTCAGACAGACAGGAGTCAGACAGTCAGACAGTATTATAAACTTAGGGCTTTTATTTTGAAGACCTTTCAGCTTACTCTGTGCTTTCTTCCTGCGGTAGGACCTTCCATAGTGCTTATCAGTGGGGCGGGAGACCTGGACCGTACCATCTGAGGAACACTTCACTTTCTGTTTCAGAGGGGGGGGAAACACACCCATATTCTGACATGATTATTATTACAATTAAATACATTTTTATTCTGTTTTCACTGAAACTGATATCTGCAGGTATTTGATTGACAGGTACCATGAAGACCCGCCCCATCGCCTCCTGCAGTTTGCTCAGGTGTTCGCTGTCGAACCTCAGCTGCACCACCTGACCTGGGCTGTCCCGGTGCATGATGGGAAGCTTCAGCCGCACGCTGAGGACCGCCTCTACCCCACTGCATTCTAGGAAAACACACACAGCATCATGAGAGATAAATAAACAAACAGAGATGAAATATAAACAATCAGACAGGAAGTTACCTTTGAGGCTGTAGAGATCCACTTCCTCCTGCTGCAGGACAATCGAGTCCCACAGGAAGCCCTGCAACACACACACTCTACTTTAAAAGTGGACCTATCATGCTATATTTGAATAATATATTGTAGGGTCATACCTATATAAAACATGTCTGAACAGATCATGCATTTTAGCCACGCCTCATTTTGCTCTATTTGCTCTATTCCAGCCCTGTCTTCACAAGGGCTGATTCTGTGGCAAATGAGCTGCAGCTGACCACGCCCCCCTGCAAAGGAGGGGGGGCGAGGCACGAGCGTCATGTTACCATCCTGTTACCATGCTGTTACCATGCTGTTACATGCTGGTTGACCATGCTGTTACCATGCTGTTACCATGCTGTTACCATGCTGTTACCATGCTGTTACCATGCTGTTACCATGCTGTTACCATGCTGTTACCATGTTGTTACCATGCTGTAACCATGCTGTTACCACGCTGTTACCATGCCACGGCAACCCTCTCATTCCCTGATAGGTGGAGAGTTGCCCATATAGGCGGGAGCTCCTCGTTTCCTGACGTCAGAGAATTTTCAAATCTGTATCAGTCTGTATCAGATCCGTTGCAGCCCCGTTTTTAGAGATTTGGGTACGGAGGAAAAGAGAGAGGGTTGTTTTTTCTGACACACCGGGGACACATGTTCATGTAGAAAAGACGTACAAAAGTGCATTTTGCATGATAGGTCCCCTTTAAAGAGTCCCACAGGAAGCCCTGCAACACACACACTTTACCTTTAAAGAGTCCTCTCCTGCTGATGTTCAGGTGTATATCAGTATGTAGTGTCTCTACTTTAAAGAGTCCTCTCCTGCTGATGTTCAGGTGTATATCAGTATGTAGTGTCTCTACTTTAAAGAGTCCTCTCCTGCTGATGTTCAGGTGTATATCAGTATGTAGTGTCTCTACTTTAAAGAATCCTCTCCTGCTGATGTTCAGGTGTATATCAGTATGTAGTGTCTCTACTTTAAAGAGTCCTCTCCTGCTGATGTTCAGGTATATATCAGTATGTAGTGTCTCTACTTTAAAGAGTCCTCTCCTGCTGATGTTCAGGTGTATATCAGTATGTAGTGTCTCTACTTTAAAGAGTCCTCCCCTGCTGATGTTCAGGTGTATATCAGTATGTAGTGTCTCTACTTTAAAGAGTCCTCCCCTGCTGATGTTCAGGTGTATATCAGTATGTAGTGTCTCTACTTTAAAGAGTTCTCTCCTGCTGATGTTCAGGTGTATATCAGTATGTAGTGTCTCTACTTTAAAGAGTCCTCTCCTGCTGATGTTCAGGTGTATATCAGTATGTAGTGTCTCTACTTTAAAGAGTCCTCTCCTGCTGATGTTCAGGTGTATATCAGTATGTAGTGTCTCTACTTTAAAGAGTCCTCTCCTGCTGATGTTCAGGTGTATATCAGTATCTAGTGTCTCTACTTTAAAGAGTCCTCCCCTGCTGATGTTCAGGTGTATATCAGTATGTAGTGTCTCTACTTTAAAGAGTCCTCTCCTGCTGATGTTCAGGTGTATATCAGTATGTAGTGTCTCTACTTTAAAGAGTCCTCTCCTGCTGATGTTCAGGTGTATATCAGTATGTACCGTCTCTACTTTAAAGAGTCCTCTCCTGCTGATGTTCAGGTGTATATCAGTATGTACCGTTTCTCTACTTTAAAGAGTCCTCCCCTGCTGATGTTCAGGTGTATATCAGTATGTAGTGTCTCTACTTTGAGAGAGTCCTCTCCTGCTGATGTTCAGGTGTATATCAGTATGTAGTGTATCTACTTTAAAGAGTCCTCTCCTGCTGATGTTCAGGTGTATATCAGTATGTAGTATCTCTACTTTAAAGAGTCCTCTCCTGCTGATGTTCAGGTGTATATCAGTATGTAGTGTCTCTACTTTAAAGAGTCCTCTCCTGCTGATGTTCAGGTGTATATCAGTATGTAGTGTCTCTACTTTAAAGAGTCCTCTCCTGCTGATGTTCAGGTGTATATCAGTATGTAGTGTCTCTACTTTAAAGAGTCCTCTCCTGCTGATGTTCAGGTGTATATCAGTATGTAGTGTCTCTACTTTAAAGAGTCCTCTCCTGCTGATGTTCAGGTGTATATCAGTATGTAGTGTCTCTACTTTAAAGAGTCCTCTCCTGCTGATGTTCAGGTGTATATCAGTATGTACCGTCTCTACTTTAAAGAGTCCTCTCCTGCTGTGGAGGTGTGTTACCTGTGGAGGTGTGTTACCTGAGGATTGTCGATGAAGAAGCTCACACACTCTGAGCCCACGTTGAAGTCGATCCAGAACTCGTCCAACTTGTCGTCTTTGGGAGGAAACAGCTGCAGGACACGAGAGAAACATGCTTCTAACATGTGACACACATGTTAGAAGCATGTGCGCAATATGTGAGAAACACATTGTTTTGATCATTTTCGTGTCTGTACCTCGGTGGAGTCCAGGAAGGCTTGGCGGCAGGGGAAGGTGTAGACCCTGAGAGACAGACAGACAGGTGTCAGACAGACAGGCAGGGGAAGGTGTACACCCTGACAGACAGACAGACAGGTGTCAGACAGACAGGCAGGGGAAGGTGTACACCCTGACAGACAGACAGACAGGTGTCAGACAGACAGGCAGGGGAAGGTGTACACCCTGACAGACAGACAGACAGGTGTCAGACAGACAGGCAGGGGAAGGTGTACACCCTGACAGACAGACAGAGAGGTAGAGAGAGACAGGTAGAGACAGACAGGTAGAGAGAGACAGGTAGAGAGAGACAGGTAGAAACAGACAGGTAGAAACAGACAGGTAGAGAGAGACAGGTAGAGACAGACAGGTAGAGACAGACAGGTAGAGAGAGACAGGTAGAGAGAGACAGGTAGAAACAGACAGGTAGAAACAGACAGGTAGAGAGAGACAGGTAGAGACAGACAGGTAGAGAGAGACAGGTGTGAGACAGACAGGTAATTGGGACATGTAACACCAAGTCAATAAATTCAGAATTTAAGGTAAAAAACGAAATGAAGAAACAAACCTGGAAGAGACTGACCCAGCAGCTGAGAGACAGACAGGTGAGAGACAGACATATGAGAGGGTGAGAGACAGACAGGTGAGAGACAGACATATGAGAGGGTGAGAGACAGACAGGTGAGAGACAGACATATGAGAGGGTGAGAGACAGACAGGTGAGAGACAGACATATGAGAGGGTGAGAGACAGACAGGTGAGAGACAGACATATGAGAGGGTGAGAGACAGACATACAGTGGGGCAAAAAAGTATTTAGTCAGCCACCAATTGTGCAAGTTCTCCCACTTAAAAAGATGAGGCCTGTAATGTTCATCCGAGGTACACTTCAACTATGAGAGACAGAATGGGGGGAAATAATCCAGGAAATCACATTGTAGGATTTTTAATGAATTAATTGGTAAATTCCTCGGTAAAATAAGTATTTGGTCACCTACAAACAAACAAGATTTCTGGCTCTCACAGACCTGTAACTTCTTCTTTAAGAGCCTCCTCTGTCCTCCACTCGTTAACTGTATTAATGGCACCTGTTTGAACTCGTTATCAGTATAAAAGACACCTGTCCACAACCTCAAACAGTCACACTCCAAACTCCACTATGGCCAAGACCAAAGAGCTGTCAAAGGACACCAGAAACTAAATGGTAGACCTGCACCAGGCTGGGAAGACTGCATCTGCAATAGGTAAGCAGCTTGGTGTGAAGAAATCAACTGTGGGAGCAATTATTAGAAAATGGAAGACATACAAGACCACTGATAATCTCCCTCGATCTGGGGCTCCACGCAAGATCTCACCCCGTGGGGTCAAAGTGATCACAAGAACGGTGAGCAAAAATCCCAGAACCACACGGGGGGACCGAGTCAATGACCTGCAGAGAGCTGGGACCAAAGTAACAAAGGCTGCCATCAGTAACACACTACGCCGCCAGGGACTCAAATCCTGCAGTGCCAGACGTGTCCCCCTGCTTAAGCCAGTACATGTCCGGGCCCGTCTGAAGTTTGCTAGAGAACATTTAGATGATCCAGAAGAGGATTGGGAGAATGTCATATGGTCAGAGGAAACCAAAATAGAACTTTTTGGTAAAAACTCAACTAGACGTGTTTGGAGGAGAAAGAATGCTGAGTTGCATCCAAAGAACACCTACTGTGAAACATGGGGGTGGAAACATCATGCTTTGGGGCTGTTTTTCTGCAAAGGGACCAGGACGACTGATCCGTGTAAAGGAAAGAATGAATGGGGCCATGTATCGTGAGATTTTGAGTGACAATCTCCTTCCATCAGCAAGGGCATTGAAGATGAAACGTGGCTGGGTCTTTCAGCATGACAATGATCCCAAACACAACGTCCGGGCAACGAAGGAGTGGCTTCGTAAGAAGCATTGCAAGGTCCTGGAGTGGCCTAGCCAGTCTCCAGATCTCAACCCCATAGAAAATCTTTGGAGGGAGTTGAAAGTCCGTGTTGCCCAGCGACAGCCCCAAAACATCACTGCTCTAGAGGAGATCTGCATGGAGGAATGGGCCAGAATACCAGCAACAGTGTGTGAACACCTTGTGAAGACTTACAGAAAACGTTTGACCTCTGTCATTGCCAACAAAGGGTATATAACAAAGTATTGAGATTAACTTTTGTTATTGACCAAATACTTATTTTCCACCATCATTTGCAAATAAATTCTTTAAAAAATCAGACAATGTGATTTTCTGGATTGTTTTCTCTCATTCTGTCTCTCATAGTTGAGGTGTACCTAGGATGAAAATTACAGGCCTCTCTCATCTTTTTAAGTGGGAGAACTTGCGGTGGCTGACTAAATACTTTTTTGCCCCACTGTATAGCCCAATATCACAAATGTTACATTTGTCTCAGTGGACTTCACAGTTTGTACAGAATATCAGTATGACAATGCTGATAAATCCCTCTGGTCTGAAAGCAGTGCAGGACTACATCTCCCAGAATGCCTCTCACTTTGAAGAAGTCGTCGAACTGCTCAGTGAGGCTCAGCAGGGGGGGGGGGGGTCCGGGGGGGGGGTGGGGGGTCAGAGGTCAGCAGGCCGAGCAGCGCCTCGAACCACTGCACCACCTGGACAGGTACATGTATATAAATCTAGATTACACCTGGACAGGTACATGCATATAAATATAGAGTACACCTGGACAGGTACATGTATATAAATGTAGAGTACACCTGGACAGGTACATGTATATAAATGTAGAGTACACCTGGACAGGTAAATACTAGGGCTGTCAAACGATTAACATTTTTAATCAGATTAATCACAGCTTAAAAATTAATTCATCAGATTAATCACCATTCGAACTATGTCCAAAATATGCCATTTCTTTATGTATATTGTTGTGGGAATGGAAAGATAAATGAAAGAAGGCGGATATATCCATTTAACATACAGTAGCCTATGTATGTATGTTTATTATAACATTGTTCTGTGTGTCAAAATGAAAGTCGGCCCACACACCTATCAATCATCAAACCGTGGGGTCTTAATTCATTACGTGTTGATTTCTATCAACCGGGGAGTACTTCAGGAAAGTCGACAGGGGAGGGGGGGCGGCGGCTAGTGGAGTACTTCGTGACCACAGAGTGTGAACGTTGTGATCAGCTGTTTTATCGCAGTTCTCCAGTGAAGGGGGGGGAGTCTCCCTCCGCAGTCGGTTGGCGTAGTTTTGGCACAATTCCGTTGTACAGACCGACGTTAACAGCAGCCTGTCTGTGCACACGGAGACCGACTCTGTCGTCCGGTGATCCAACCGCCTTTTGGAAAAGCTTCACAAGTACGTCGGTACGCAAATGCGCTTTGTGACACAAGTGACGGTACGCATTTCAGGTTACGCACATAACCTGCGTACCAGTTATGTGCACCCCTGTACTATAAGCCCCCAGGAAGTGCGCCGGACTCAGATGGAAATATTCGTGCTGGCCAAACGGCGGTACTGTACATCCGTTTGGTTGCCAGGCCCGAAAACACTTTTTCCCATTGACTTACATGGGGAAAGAATGGTCTGTAAATCGTTGGATAATTTTTTTTAAACTAAATAAACTACCCAGTATGAACACTTGTATAGCCCTTATTAAAAACATTCGTTCCTCAAGTTGTAAAAATGTGCTATTAACGTTATTCTGAGAGTTATTTCCCGTATGGGGCGGGCCATTCTGCACATGCGTTAAATGCGTTAAATATTTTAACGCAATTAATTTAAAAAATGAATTACCGCCGTTAACGCGATCATTTTGACAGCATTAGTAAATATGTATACATATAGAGTACACCTGGACAGGTACATGTATATAAATATAGAGTACACCTGGACAGGTAAAGCACCTTGGCTGTCAGTCCGAGGCTCAGCAGCGTCTGCAGGTCGTTCCTGTTTCCAGACAAACCATCCAGACACTTCATCACCACGGAAACCCTGCTGACCCTCGACACACACAGGTCCTCTACACACTCACACACACGCACACACACACACACACACACACACACACACACACACACACACACACACACACACACACACACACACACACACACACACACACACACACACACACACACACACACACACACACACACACACACACACACACACACACACACACACACACACACACACACTTACATGAATGTGTGATGCTAATGGATACATGTATTGACAGTCTCTAATTAAGGTTAATTGGTTACCGTGGTGACGAGCTGGTGGAGTGACGCCAGAGAAAAAGAGGAGAGGTCCTTCTGCATTACAGCCACCAATGAAGAAGAGTCCTCCAACTGCACCTGAAGCTGCTATTCATTTTAATGGGGGGCGCTGCAGGACAGAGTCACAGAGACACCTGAGAGGAGCAGCAGCTCACCTGTCCTGCAGCAGGGGACGCTGCAGGACAGGTGAGCTGCTGCTCCTAACCTGTCAGAGCTCTGACATATCCATGGATATATAGAATGTAAAACACGTTAAATACACTCATAAATAACAACAATAACTACATTAATAAATAACAACAATAACTACATTAACAAATAACCACAATACTTTAACCCTCACTAACATGAGCAGCTCACCTGAGACATCGCGAGGATGCTGGCTTGGTCGTCGCATACTTCCAAGTCACTTCCTTCAGAAACGAAGCAAGTATACTTCCAAGCCACGGCTTCGGAAAACGAAGAAGAATGGAACAGGCTAACAAGTGTGCCACTCTCTCTAACGGTTTCAACATAAACTGTACCGAAAGTAAATACCTCACGATGTCTATCTAATTATGAACTTGCTTTTCTTTCACGGAACACATTTTTGGTGATAACAAACAAACGAAGTAACATATCTACCAACACATGTTCTACGCCACTACATACTTACATCTAAATGTGTGCTGCGTCGGTTCAGCCATTCTCCGCAAGGGTTTTTGAAATTGGTCCGTGCGCAAAGCATTGTGGGGATTTTAAGGACGCGAAGTCTACCCATGTGCAGCCTCGAAATTTCCCCCAAACCAAAGACGCGGCCACGGTGGAATTCCAAGTATGCTGGAGATTGGAACAGTCCTTCGGCGGCACTCGATGATGAAATATTGGCTTGGAAGCCAGTATCCTCGAGATTGAGGCTGCAGCCACACGAGGACAAAAACGGCCGTTTGCGTTACTGTTTAGTGTCATATAGACCATCCGGCCACACGAGGACGACCGCATACGGCACTAAACGACTGAGGAAATGATAACAGGTCCCAAGGTGGATAGAACGGCATACGCAACGCTCTGGGGGGTCAAACAGCTCCGTGTGTGCGCCCGATACGATCATTTTCTGATAATGATTGCGCAATAGCCCCTCCTCTCCCCACCTCTGCTGCTCACCCCCGCGTCAAAGTAAACTGCACACTGAAATCAGATTATTTATCTTTCTCTCGATATGGACATACACGCGAGTGAAGTCTAATCTGACAGGACGGAGACACCTCTCAAACTACCTAAACTAGTTATAAATATGTTTATTTTTACTGTTGGCCGGGTCACTGATTACTGGATCAGCTGCTGCATCAGACAGACACTGGCGCTGTCCGAAGAGAGGGAGGAAAAAGAGAGGCTCCGTGTATTTTATTATTATATTATATAGAGTTTTTATTCATTTGTTTTAAAGCTCAATAAATAACAAAGAAGACTTTTGACCGGCACTTTTATAATTTTGTCGGAAGGTTTCAACTTTAATACACGTTGACTGGCGAAAAACTCTGCCCGGTTCCCTCGGCCCCCACCGCGGAGAATAAACAGAAGGGCAACCATGACAACCATGCTTCTTCGCTGCTTTTGTGGAGGAAGTAACAGCGCCACGTACAGGCTCCTGCATGTACTGCAGAGCTTCTCCAGCGGTTGGAGCTAAACGGAGCGGTTTCGTGTGGGCAGACACTATCCGGATAACTATTGCGTGTGGACGGAAGCTTGTTTGTGATTGCGTTTGCGTTAATCCTATGCGTTTAGACGTTTTTGTCCTCGTGTGGCTGCAGCCTGAGAAACGGCCTCAGGCAGGGCCGGACGCGTGTATTGTTTTTCCAACCGAGTTTAGATTTAACCACGCCTACTTTCGCATTACGCAAGGATCGACGTAGCTCTACGCGATAGCGTCATAGACTTCTTCTTCGGCAGTTATAGCGGTTGCGGTAAAGCTCTCTGAAGAACCAGCACCTTACCGTGGTAGAGAGGTTTGTGTGCCCTGATGAACCTGGGGGCTGTGTTGTCTGGAACCTTGTGTTCCTGGTAGGGTTTCCCATGGCAAATTGGTCTCAGGCAAGGGGCCAGACTAAGATTGGTTCAAAAGACCTCATGAAAGACGACACAAGAAGTGAGGAGGAAGGAAGCCCGGGGTCCCCTTCTGGAGCCAGGCCCAGAAGGAGGACTCGTCGGCGAGCGTCTGGTGGCCGGGCTTGCCACGGAGCCCGGCCAGGCCCAGCCCGAAAAGGCAACGTGGGCAACACCTCCGCTTCTCCTTCCCGCGGGCCCACCACCTACGGGAAACATCGATGGGGTCGGGTGCGCTGCCAGAAGGGTGGCAGTGAAAGCGGAGGGTCTCGACGGACCAGACCCGGGCGACAGAAGCTGGCTTTGGGATGTGGAACGTCACCTCTCTGGGGGGGAAGGAGCCGGAGCTTGTGCGGGAAGTGGAGCGTTACCAGTTGGATCTGGTTGGGCTCACCTCTACGCACAGCGTCGGCTCTGGAACCTTACTTCTGGATAGGGGTTGGACTCTATTCTTCTCCGGAGTTGCTCAAGGTGTGAGCCGCCGGGCGGGTGTGGGGATACTCACAAGTCCCCGGTTAGGTGCTTCGTTGTTGGAGTTTACCCCAGTGGACGAGAGGGTCGCCTCCCTACGCCTGAGGGTTATGGGGGGGAAAACTCTGACTGTTGTGTGTGCTTATGCACCCAACAGCAGTTCAGAGTATACGGCCTTCTTGGAGACCCTGGAAAGAGTCCTGTATGGGGCTCCTGAAGGGGACTCTTTAATCTTGCTGGGAGACTTCAACGCACATGTGGGCAATGATGGAGACACTTGGAGGGGCGTGATTGGGAGGAACGGCCCCCCTGATCTGAACCGGAGTGGTGGTTTGTTACTGGACTTCTGTGCTAGTCATGGATTGGCCATAACAAACACCATGTTCGAACATAAGGATGCTCATAAGTGTACGTGGTACCAGAGCACCCTAGGCAGAAGGTCCATGATCGATTTCGTTATCGTATCATCGGACCTGAGGCCGTATGTTTTGGACACTCGGGTAAAGAGAGGGGCGGAGTTGTCAACTGATCACCATCTGGTGGTGAGTTGGGTCGAGTGGCGGAGAAAGCCTCTGGATAGACCTGGTAAGCCCAAACGTGTAGTTCGGGTGAACTGGGAACGTCTGGAGGAGGCCCAAGTTCAGGAGGCCTTCAACTCACACCTCCGGCGGAGCTTTCGGGCATTCCTGTGGAGGTTGGGGACATTGAACCAGAGTGGTCGGTGTTCAAAGCCTCTATTGCCGAAGCCGCGGCGGGGAGCTGTGGTCTCAAGGTGCCTCAAGGGGCGGTAACCCTCGAACTTCCTGGTGGACACCGGTGGTCAGGGAAGCCGTCCGACTGAAGAAGGAGGCCTTCAGGGATTTGTTATCCCGGGGGACTCCCGAGGCAGTTGCAAGGTACCGACAGGCCCGAAGGGCAGCAGCCTCATCCGTGGCCGAGGCAAAGCAGCGGGTGTGGGAGAAGTTCGGAGAAGACATGGAGAAGGACTTTCGGGCGGCACCAAAGTTGTTCTGGAAAACTGTCCGACACCTCAGGAGGGAGAAGCAGGGAACCATCCAAGCTGTGTACAGTAAGGATGGGACGTTGTTGACCTCAACTGATGGAGTGTTAGGGGCGTTGGAAGGAACACTTTGAGGAACTCCTGAACCCGACAACTCCGCCCTCTATGTTAGAGGCAGAGCTGGAGTATGACGGGGGATCAACACCAATCTCCCGGGGGGAGGTCACTGAGGTCGTCAAACAACTCCACAGTGGCAAAGCCCCGGGGGTGGATGAGATCCGCCCGGAAATGCTGAAGGCTCTGGGTGTTGAGGGACTGTCATGGTTGACACGTCTCATCAACGTTGCGTGGAAGTCGGAAACAGTACCGAAGGAGTGGCAGACCGGGGTGGTGGTTCCCCTTTTTAAAAAGGGGGATCAGAGGGTGTGTGCCAATTACAGAGGCATCACACTACTCAGCCTCCCCGGGAAATTTTACTCTAAGGTACTCGAAAGGAGGGTCAGGCCGATTGTCGAACCTCAGATTGAGGAGGAACAATGCGGATTTCGTGGAACGACGGATCAGCTTTTTACTCTCGCAAGGATCCTGGAGGGGGCCTGGGAGTACGCTTATCCGGTCTACATGTGTTTTGTAGACTTGGAGAAGGCGTATGACCGAGTTCCCAGGGAGTTACTGTGGGAGGTGCTGCGGGAGTATGGGGTGAGGGGGTCTCTACTCAGGGCCATCCAATCGCTGTACTCCCAAAGCGAGAGCTGTGTCCGGGTCCTCGGCAGTAAGTCGGACCCATTTCCGGTGAGGGTTGGCCTCCGCCAGGGCTGCGCTTTGTCACCAATCCTGTTTGTAATATACATGGATCGGATTTTGAGGCGTAGTCATGGGGGAGGGGGTCTGCAGTTCGGTGGACTAAGGATTGCACCACTGCTTTTTGCAGATGATGTGGTTCTAATGGCTTCATCGGTCTGCGACCTTCAGCACTCACTGGATCGGTTCGCAACCGAGTGTGAAGCGGCTGGGATGAGGATCAGCACCTCCAAATCTGAGGCCATGGTTCTCAGCAGGAAACCGATGGACTGTCCACTTCAAGTAGGGAATGAGTCCTTACCCCAAGTGAAGGAGTTCAAGTATCTCAGGGTCTTGTTCTCGAGTGAGGGAACAATGGAGCGTGAGATGGGCCGGAGAATCGGAGCAGCGGGAGCGGTACTGCAGTCGCTTTACCGCACCGTTGTGACGAAAAGGGAGCTGAGCCAGAAGGCAAAGCTCTCTGTCTACCGGGCCATTTTCGTTCCTACCCTCACCTATGGTCATGAAGGATGGGTCATGACCGAAAAGAACGAGATCGCGGATACAAGCGGCCGAGATGGGTTTTCTCCGCAGGGTGGCTGGTGTCTCCCTTAGGGATAAGGTGAGAAGTTCGGTCATCAGGGAGGGACTCGGAGTTGAGCCGCTCCTCCTTCGCGTCGAAAGGAGCCAGTTGAGGTGGTTCGGGCACCTAGTTAGGATGCCACCTGGGCGCCTCCCTAGGGAGGTGTTCCAGGCACGTCCAGCTGGGAAGAGACCAAGGGGTAGACCTAGGACCAGGTGGAGGGATTATATCTCTTCGCTGGCCTGGGAGCGCCTTGGGATCCCCCAGTCAGAGCTGGTTGATGTCGCCAGGGAAAATAAAGTTTGGGGCTCTCTGCTGGAACTGCTACCCCCGAGACCCGACCACGGATAAGCGGGAGAAGATGGATGGATGGATGGCGGTAAAGCAGGATATTGAATAGTGGTTTTTTGTCTTTCCAAAGGATTTGTTGACTGAAAGTAAACGATCCTGTAATCAAAGCCATATCGAAGAATCCTGAGATTGTATTACTGGTGTTTTATCATCTATAAATAGCCTGTGTGTATCCTCAAATGTCGTTTTCAGGACAAACAAAAGACGTTTTAAATA